AAGGCAAAGGGAAATGGACTGGCTTTGGTGGTGGGGGGTTTAAGTCGCTCCTAGGAAGAGCTTAGATGGAAGAGTCGGCTGAGTCCGGGTGGGGGTGGGCAGTGTGCCGCAGAGAGCAGCTTCTGGTGCGTAATAACAGACGGGGTCTGACTGATGACGGTTCAACTTAACGGTTTTTTGACTCTATGATGGTCAGGAAGCCATACGCATTCAGTAGAAACCATACTTGGAATTTTGATCTTTTTCCGGGCTGGCGGTTACGTGGTACAGTGCTCCCTCGTGATGCTGGGCGGCGGTGGCTCCAAGGCAGCCACGAGACACACAGTGACTGTGCCTGTCTTCCACGTTCAGGACAGTATTCGGTAAATTACATGAGATATTCAACACTTTTATACGATAGGCTTGGTTTAGATGATCTTGCCCACTGTAGGCTAGCGTAAGTGTTTGCGTTCAGGTGGGCTAGGCTAAGCCCGTGCCGTTGGGTGGGTTAGGTGGAGTACATGCATTTTCGGTTTAACGATATTTTCAACCCACGATGGGTTTTTTGGGACATAACCCCATCATAAGTCGAGGAAGATTTGTAGTAGCTGTTTTTTTATTATGTGCCCAGATCTGCCTTGTGCTATTTTGCCAAACTGTATTATACTCGGATTATTGTATGACTATTTATTGAGCACCTGCTGTGCTCCAGGCTCTGTGCTAGACTCGGGGGCTACATTGATGAGCAAAAACAGGTATGTTTCCACAATGCCTCCGGGGTGTGGGGTGTGGGTGGGTTCTCACGCTACTGGGCCAGTCAGAAATTAATGAAGCATGTAAAGGTATCTTTTCCAACTGTGGTAAGTACCCCAAAGGCCAAGTTTATGGTGTCCTAAGAATGTAAGACAGGCACATATTATAAAGTCGGGAGTGTTAGTGGAAGACTCATCCCTTTATCGGGTTTTCTTATTTTACTGAGGAGGAAATGAGTTCAGAGAGGTTAAGTCACTTGCTCCAGATGGCACAGCAATTGATTGGACCGAGTTGGTTTTTAGACGTGCCCAGGTCTGTCTCACCCCTGATAACTTTTCTCTCAACCACCTGACTCTAGGAGCATTCTGGGCTATATGACAACTTAATGGATACCCTCTGTTAATTAATCTTCACGGGCACTGGTGAGATAGGGATTCTTATACCCATTACACAAATGAGGAGACAGAAGAAGCTCAGAGTTAATTAACTTGCTTAAGGTCACACACATCAGCTGGTGGCAGAGCAGGAATTTGAATCCAGGTTGGGGAACCCAAAATTTGACCACCCACCATCATCCCCCAAATACCCTTGTCCTACCAACAGAGCCTGCAGAGGTGAAGCCACCCGTGCAGGGACATCAGCTGCAGAGTGGCAGAGCGGGGACTGCTCTGATTATCAACTTCGTACCTGCCACCTGGTTCTCCTTTCTCTCCTCATTTAGTTTATCACATGCAGCTTTTGCTCTCCACTCAGAGAAAAGAGCCGCATGGTTAGGGTTCAGAGCTTGGCACTGACCCTCTCCGAGGGACTCCCATCTCTGGGGGCAGGGAAAGGGGCTGCTCTTTGGGCAGAGGCCTGTGCTCTAGGAACTCGGAAGGGAGGGAAGGAGCTGCCCAAGGACCCTCTTCCCCCCACCCCCTGAAACGTGAGACCCTGGGAGGAGCCCCTCAGGTCTAGGCTGTTGCTTCTCCATCAACAAATGGGTCCCGAGAGACCAACCGAGAGCCAGGGCCCAGTGCCCGAAGTTGAGGCAGACGCCTGTGGAAATGGAAGGGGCCTCGTCTGGGCAGCAGGATCTGGCAGGGTTATTTGGTGGGCACCACGCCCTGGTGAACAGACAGACACCTCCAAGCCAGCTTGGCTGGTCACTAGGAGTCCTTTTCTTTGTTGGGGGCGGGGCGGGGGCTGTGCCAGAGGCCAGGATGAACCATTGGGAGCCACAGGAGGCAAGCTCCCCAGTATAAAGATAATCCCCAGTGCCCAGCTGGAGGTACTCTTGGGGGTTAAGTGTGGGTAAAAAGGCCATCAGAGCTCAAAGGGAGATGTCCTAATGCAGCACTTTCCAACAGAAATACAACGCGAGCCTCATGTGTAATTTTAAATTCTCCAGTAACCGCATGAAGTGTAAAAAGAAACAAGTGAAAACAGTATTTTATTTAACTCCATGTATCCAAAACATTGTAATTTCAACATATAATCAATACCATTTATTAATGAGCTAGGTTACATTCTGGTTTTCATCCTAAGCCTTGGAAACTGGGGTGCAGTTTACACTTTCATTTGCACGGGAACTGGCCGATTACCAGCTCCGTGACCGCAGGTGGTGAGTGGCCATGGTGGTGGGCAGTGCAGTCCTAGAGTTAATTAGGGCTGTTAATCACCTCCTCTGCCTTCCCCTTCAGCCCGGGGTGAGGGTGGATGGCGGCTCAGCCTGTTGCCCTGGGGACGCAGCGGCCCGGACCACCGGGGCCTCGGGGCCCCGCGGACCGCTCCCGTGCGCCCTGCTGCGCCGCCGGGGTCTTGGGCTGCAATGGGAGAAAGGCTTTGAGGTAGGCGCTGGAAGCCCTGAAGTTGGGGACAGGACGGAGGCGAAAACCCCTTAGGACCCGAGTGGGGAGTGAGGAGGTGCCCTGGTGGCCTGCCCACGCCCGGCGGAGCGGTGGGTGTGGGACGAGGTGGCGCGGAGCGGCCGGGGGATCACAAGCGCACAGGCCCGCATTGTTCGCCTGTCACACTTCCTCTGGCTTTATTGCCTTTGTCCAACACCCTATTGTCTGGTTTCCTTTTGTCCCCCTTTCAGCCCCGCTGCCTTTTATTTTCCAGCCAGCCTGGTTGTTTTCATTTCTTTTGTCTGAAGTTCCTGAGAGGAAGGTTTTATTTTCAGCGGTTTGATTAATTCACAGCTTGAGCCCGGGGTTTGTTTGTTATGTAATTGCTGCCCTCAGCTTCGGGATAATACCCCCCTCCCCGCCCGCCCCGCCCCTACGGCCCCCCCCGCGCCCGGGGCCTGGCTGGGCGCCCCTCCCTGTGCCCGGATGGGCCGAGCCGCCCACTTCCTGGATGCTGGCCAGGCCCCTGCGTGTTGAGAGGGGACCCCGGGGCCGGACCCCGGAGCCTCTTCTCCCGGGCCAGCGTTCTTCGGGTCCGGTCTGCCCCGCTCTCTCCTCACCCTGCAGTGCCCGTCCCGGGTCCCATGTTGGTCCCCAGGGCACCCCGCCCTTTGAAAGTGGCGGGAGAAGTCTGCTCTGGTTTAGATGGCATCAAATCAAATACACCTTATTCAACTATAATGTCTGTTCAGTTGTTTAATATAAAATAGTGCACATGGACTCCTGTATCCAGCACATGGCCTCACTCCTATGTTACAAGAAACATTGTGTTGTAAGGAGTTGACATGATATACAATATACGACACCCGCAATTCAGTTTTAAGGGATGTTTTGCTATATCTGATTTGTCCCTTGCACTACCCCCCAAAATGTAATGCCCATGCAAAAATGTTTAAATTTTTATTTAACCGTGCTTCTCAAACTAGTGGGTATCAGAATCACCTGAAGGGTTTGTTAAAATAGATTCCTGCTCTATCCGCAGAGTTTCTGATTTGCGAGTGACCCTTGACTAACTCCCACGCAAGCCGCCAGGCCATGCTTGGACTGTGGGTCCCTTGTAGGGACTGCATTTCTACCGTGTTTTAACAAGGGGTGCTTACTAGTGCCACGAAACATTCTAAACAGGTAAATTTTAGCAATTCCTAGTCCTCAGAACTGCCCATTTTACAGATGAGGAGACAGGTGTGGAGAGGTTCAGTAACTTACCTAAGGTCACGTAGCGGGTGTAGGACCTAGAACTTGCTGCTGGGTGTCCCTACTGGTCTTGTCACAGTGACTTTGGATGGGGAGCAGGTGAGCTGGGGGCTACTGCTGCTTTGGCTGTGAGCCTGGCTTGACCACCAGCACTCGCCCCCCAGGATCCTTGGATTGCTCAGCTACTCCTGGTGTCCCAGGCAGTGGTGACAATGACACGGGGAGGGGGGGTGCTGGGGTGGCTGTGATGGGAGCAGTGGGTGCAAAGGCTGCTTACAGCAGGGATTGCAAATGCCTACAGGGGCCAATGAGAGAGACTCTAAATGAGGGACTCTAGCTAGCTAAAGGAAAACATCTTTCTTCAAGCCCTACATCTCAGCCCGTTATTTTCCTACTTTTGGTAGATACATGAATATAAAAAAACAGTGCACTTTTATTTTTTCTCTAAGAGGAAAAAAAGGATATATATATATATATATTTAGGGTAGATGACACTTGGTTCCCCTTTTGCGGGGCAGTAGGGAGTGGTAGGGACTGAGGAAAACTGGCCTGTCCATAAGGAGCCCTGCTACTTAATTCCAGCCACTTGTTGCCCCAGACCAACTTCAAGAGAAGTTCAAATCCAGATTATGTGATGTCTCGTGATTTTTATTTTATTTTTTTTAAAGACTTTATTTATTTATTTGAGACAGAATGAGAGAGAGAGAGAGCACATGAGAGGGGGGAGGGTCAGAGGGAGAAGCAGACTCCCTGCCAAGCAGGGAGCCTGATGCGGGACTCGATCCAGGGACTCCAGGATCATGACCTGAGCCGAAGGCAGTCGCTTAACCAACTGAGCCACCCAGGCACCCTCGTGATTTTTAAATTTTGTTAGCTAATTACAAACACACAGATACACATATATATGATTTTGACTTTGCTGGGCTCAGAAACTGCCAGTTGATAATCTTCTGCCCTCCTTTGGTGGACCATTCAGCCAACCAGCTCCAACATGGCAGTAGGCAGGACCTGCTGAAGGCTGGGCCCAGTTGGCTGTAGACCTTCCCATTTAAGAGAAAAAAAACACACAGGACTGAAGAATATTTTTTTATTTTTTTCACTGTGGGTTCCAAATGGAAGTTTGCATTCGGTGAGGGTGGAGTTGCCGTATCCACCATCGGTTTCCCTCTGCTCCTTCTCCCTCAGGATGTCCATGAGGAGCCCTGGCTCTGCCCAGCTGGCCCCAGATGGCGTGGGCACCATGGTGAACTGCACCGTCAAGTCCGAAGGGAAGAAGGAGCCCTGCCATGAGGCCCTCCAGGGCTCGGCCACCGCAGCTGAACCCCAGCCCGGAGACCCAGCCCGGGCTCCCCAGGACGGTGCTGACTCCCAAGCTCCAGCCCAGGTGCCCGGCACTTTCCCCGGGGCTCCTGGGTCAGTGTCCCCGCTTTGCCTCCATAGCCCACACCCACGTGCCATACCTGGCCTCTCCTTGAGGCTGGGCGGGCACCCACTTCCCAAGCTGGGCAGACAGGAGGCAGCACCAGCTGTTTCTGGGGCAAGACTTCGGTGGGTGGGGAGGGGCTGCCAAGCTCAGTCAGGCCACCTGTCTGAGTGGTACGTGGCCTCACTCCTGTGCTTGCTCACCCGTGTGTGACCAGTCCTTACCTCTGAGGACTAGTTGGAGAGACAGGATACATCTGCTCAGAGTTTATCTACCATATGATTTGAGAAAATCAGCCTTATTACCCAAGCCTGAGATCAGCCACTGTTAAAGACAATACAATTCCTCATCCTTAAGATGAAGGCATTCTGAACATGAGCAGGAAGGATTCTTGCAGTTCTTAAAAATCCTGATTCCATGCAAGAGCTGCAAAAAGGGTAATATGTAACTAATACCAAATGAATGAAAATGAGAATTTTAGGGCCCTGAGGAAGGATCCAGCCTGGAGGGGTCTATGGAAGGGGTTAGGGGGTCGGGGTAGTGATGAGGGAGACTTCCTGGAGGAGTAGGGCCCCGAATTAAGCCTTAAAGAATGGAGAGGACTCTGGTGAGGAGAATTGAGGGTGGTGGTGTCCTAAGGAGGGGGGAGGGTCCCAGGAGTCCCCCACCCAGCTGCAGATACGGCTGTGTGCAAGGAGGTAATGATTAATAGCTCGATAGCCTCGACTGTAGCGGTGAACCTCATTCACGTGCATTCACTTCCTTGATCCCAGCAACAATCCTGACAGGGGAGGTATTAATATTTCCATTTTCAGAAGAGGGAAGTAAGTCAGGTTCAGAGAAGTTCAGAGTCTCATGTGGGATCAAGCGCCTCGTGAGTCACTGAGCTGGGACTGAAATCCAGGTCTCTGGTCTGCAAACCTTTTGTGCCTTCGCTATATCCAGCAAAGCCAGAGCAAAGGTTGGGAAGGTGGCGGGGGGGGCCCTACCTGGGGGGCTGGGTGTGTGTCCCCAGGCTACTCGGTTCCCCCTGCAGTCTGCCTCCTTCCCTTGAGGGTGACAGTGACATTCAGTGCGTATTGTAGGATTGCAGCTCCCCTGAGAGCAATGGGTCCCCGGAACCCAAGAGAATGGGAGCTTCTGAGGCCGCCTCTGGAAGCCAGGAGAAGCTAGACTTCAACCAACATTTAAAAGAAGGTAAGATGTCTAGGGGCGCTGGGTGGCTCAGTCGTTAAGCGTCTGCCTTCGGCTTGGGTCATGATCCCAGGGTTCTGGGATCGAGTCCTGAATTGGACTCCCTGCTCAGTGGGGAGTCTGCTGCTCCCTCTGCCCCTCCCCCTGCTCACGCACGCTCTCTCTCTCTTGCTCTCAAATAAAATCTTGGGGGGTAAAAATAAAAAAGCAAGGTAAGATGTCTGCCCTGGTCGGAGGCGGGCATGGGGTGGGAGGTGCTAGGACTTCTGCTCTTCATCCCTTTGGTATCTTCTAGTCGTGCCGGCCATCGAGAAGCTGCTGTCCAGTGACTGGAAGGAGAGGTTTCTGGGAAGGAGCTCTGTGGAAACCAAAGATGTCAAAGGTGAAGGCCCATGTGGGTCGGCAGGGGAGGATGTCTGAACCCTTTCCCTTCTCCCAGCCGGGCCATGTGGTCTGGGCCTATACAGCAGTTTGGGGGGCTCTTAGTCCCCTCCTACCTGGCCTCTTGGCAGGAGAGGCCTGGTAGGAATCATGTTCCATGAGTATGGATTTGGACTTTTTTTTTTTTTTTAAGACTTTATTTATTTGACAGAGAGATAGAGCACACGTAGGCAGAGTGGCAGGCAGAGGGAGAGGGAGAAGCAGGCTCTCCACTGAGCAGGGAGCCTGATGTGGGGCTCGATCTCAGGACCCCAGGATCATGACCTGAGCCGAAGGCAGCTGCCCAACCGACTGAAGCACCCAGGCGCCCCTGAATTAGGACTCATACAGGGACCCTTGTGACCTCAGGCAGGTCACTGCCACTTCCCAGATCTAACTGTATCTAACTATATCAAACGAGCTGGACATGCCCTTTCACTGCTGAAAATTAATTCTAGGCCACCGGGACCTCACTAAGTGAATTCAAGGGCTGCTGCTTGGTTCGTGAGCGTGGCTGTTTTCCCAGTATGGTCGGTCACACCCCCAGGGGGAGCTTTAAGACCGTACCAATGCCCAGGCTCTACTCCACCTGCTGAATGTGAACCCCAGGGGCTGGGGGCCTGGGCCTGTGTATTTGTCAAAGGCTCCCTGAGTGATTCTGAGGCAAGTGGCCTGCAGCCTGGCCCCGCTGCATCTGTCATGAGCTCAGCAGGAGGGCAGGAAGCAGTGGCTGTTTTGGGCGAGGGCCATGTGCCAGATTCTGGACTAAGCCTTACCTTCATTATCTTAGCCTCACGGCACCCCTGTGAAGGGACCGTTTTTGTGCTCATCGATAGACTAAAAAAACCGAAGTGCAGAGAAGTCGGTTACTTGTCCCACAGCCCCGGGACAACCTCCTGTGGGATATCCACGCTGACCCTGCGGCTCAGGGCGCTCGAGGACCTCTGAGAAGCGATGTGGGACTGAGACGTCCCACTGTCGACATTTCCAGGGGCTGGAAGCAGCGGATGGGGACCTTCTAGGGCAGGTGGTTGTCAGACAGCAAGCAAGCCCCCTCCGGGGCAAGGATCATGTCTCCATCCTCTGTCCCTCGGCCCCTAACAGGGGCCTGGGAGGTAGCAATTGCCCAATGAACATCAGATGGGTGGGTGGATGTGTGGGTGGACAGATGGACAGAAAAACAACAATTCTCACCGGTGGCCGTTTCATCGTGGAGCAGGGACCCAGGAGAGCCTGGCAGAGAAGGAGCTCCAGCTCCTGGTCATGATCCACCAACTGTCCACGCTGCGGGACCAGCTCCTGACAGCGCACTCGGAGCAGAAGAACATGGCTGCCATGCTGTTCGAGAAGCAGCAGCAGCAGATGGAGCTGGCCCGACAGCAGCAGGAGCAGGTAGGTCCCGCTGGGTGTCCGGCTGCCTTGCTAGGGGAGAGGGGGTCTATTGGGGCCTGGAGGGGAGCACTGTGGGGGCAGACCTGGTAGTGCAGGCCGAGCGAGGCTGGGCAGGGGGGCAGGCCCGGGAGGGGCCGTCGGCAGGGGCCCCAGGCTGGCTGTGACTCGGCCCTGTCGGGGGCCAGGGAGTGGAAGGGGCCTGCGGGGCTCTGCATGGGAGCACTCGCCTCACCTCCCGCCTCACCTCCCACCGCGGCCTCAGAGGAGAGTGAGCTCCCTGCAAAGGGAGAACGTACTCTGAAGGTGGACTGTCCTGGTGCTTGCCCCGCCCAGGGCATGGTGTGCACTGGTACGGAGGGCACGGCGCGGTAGGCCCCGGACTGGGGCTAATGTCTGTGCCCCCCTCTCCCTGCTCTTTCCTGCTGCCAGATCGCCAAACAGCAGCAGCAGCTGATACAGCAGCAACATAAGATCAACCTCCTCCAGCAGCAGATCCAGGTAAACAGGGGGGTGGCCAGAGGCACAGCGGGTGACGCCAGGGACGGAGGGACGGGGTGCGGATTAAGCAGAATCACTTGGGCATGGCCCTGAGGAGGGGGCTCATTTCTGCTCTGGTCCCGTGCCCCCATTGTCTTCCTCTGTTTTAAAGGAGGGGCCAGAGTATCTTCATCCCCAGCTGGGGCTGAGCTGAGGGCAGGTAGTGGGAAGTGATGTGGGGTCTGGTGGAGCCTTTTGAAGATTGGTCCTGTACTGGTCTGCATGCCTCCTGTGTCTCGGTCCCCCCGTGTGCCTCCCATGTCTGGATCCCCGCGCTGTGTCCTGGGCTGAGCTGTGTGGGCCCCAGGGGACTCACACAGGGTTTCTTTGCTCTCAGCAGGTCAACATGCCTTATGTCATGATCCCGGCCTTCCCGCCAAGCCACCAGCCTCTACCTGTCACCCCCGATTCCCAGCTGGCCTTGCCCATTCAGCCCATCCCCTGCAAACCAGGTGAGTGTGGGTGGGGGTGCGGCAGCTAGCGGAGGCTGTCCTAAGGTCCCAGAAGGAGCCCCGGACCGTGCTCATGCATCCCTTTACCATGCGGCCTTCCTGGGCCTCGCTTCTGGATTTGTCCAGTGGAAGAAGAGTCCCTTCTTTCTGAACTTTACTGGGAGAATGAACAGCAATAGCACTTGAACACCGTGAAGTACTTGGCAGATGTAAGCGGATGTGGCCACTTTAGATGCAGTGTCCCCAGCTCTGGTCCCTTTAGTGGACCAGAATAGTAACATCTTGGACATTCACTGAGGTGTCCACATTTCCCAGACTCTTGGCTTTTGTCTCTAACCCAACCGTGCTCCTTCTGCCCCGCCACCGAAATTCAGCAAACACAGACTGAGCACCAACCGCCTGTCAGACGTTGTGTTGTCAGGTGGCCACGGGGTGGGGAGAGGGGTGATGATAAAAATGGACGTTGAGCTCCAGGAATTTACGGTCTGGGCAGGGAGAAAGGATGCCAGCAACCGGGGAATCTGGGAAGCTTTCTAAGGGGGTCAGAAATTAGTTGGGGCCCAGGAGGTAGACGGGGACGGTGAAGCTGGGAGCTGAGGGTGGAAGGCAGTCTGAGGCAGAGGGCCTGGAGCCTGCGGCCAGAAGCTGCAGGGGGCTGGAGCTGAGGGGAGCGCACGACTGGGTGGTCGTGGGACCGGCTGGCGAGGGAATTTATTTTGTAGAATGTAGACATGCTTGAACGATTGAACGGAGGGTGTGTTGTCATACCGACTGTGGGTGATGGGGAACAGAGAGGGTCGGGGGACCAGTGGGGGGCTGCTGAGGGGCTTCTGGGGACAGCATGACAGCCTGCACTCAGGCAGAGGTGGTGGGACAGAGGCCCAGCTAGAGCATGTAGTCCGTGATCATGGATTCCTGGTGAAGGGCCATGGGACGGGGCAGGGATGTTGCCCATAGCTGCCCCAGGAGTGGGGACAGCTTTTAGGTCAACTGGTCCACCCTCCCTGTTCCGTGGGTGAGAGCAGGCGGGTGAGTTCCTGTGGGCCTGCCACCAAGGCCTGTGGGCTATGGGCCCAGTTCGTGGGTCACGGACTCTGTTCCTGCCTCGTTCTACACCAGGCACTCTGGGCGGGGGGGGGACACAAAGGACTGAAAAAGTTAGGTCCTGCCTTCCAGAAAGTTTCCACCTGGGGAGGTAGGAAGACTAGGAGGGGGGAGCAGGCCAGCAGCACAAACCCACTGCAGCTTCAGGTGAATAGAGCTGCTGGAGTGAGGAGGGCAGGGCCTGCTGGGGGCATTGGGGTGCATCTGAGCCCATGCGTTCGGGACAAGGGAGGCAGGAAACAAGCTGTGGAAGACCTCAACTGGCCAGACTGCCACCCACTTTGTTGGTTCCAGAATCCTAGTAACCACGGGGCCCAGAGGCTTCCAGAGGGTCCTTCCCCAAGCTGAGTGCATAATGCCTCTCCTTAGCTCACAAGCCCTAGATGGTGCCCTGTCGCCTACAGCACGGAGTCCACAAACTCCCAAGGTTGCCTGTCATGGCCAGTCTCCTTTCCCACACCTGGGGTCTCACCTCAGTGCTCGCCCTCCGCCTGCCCGCCCACAGCCACTAGCCCACCTCTTGCCGCTCTCCCCAGGAAGCCTGCTCTGGCCACCCCAGCTGGAACCAGGTTCTCCGGCATGCTGCCCGTGCAGTCTGTATCCCTATTGGCCATGTGGTTAGTGATTTGTGTCCACGGCTTAGCTCTCCACCTGAACGGCCAGCTCCGTGACGCTGGGCTGGGTTGAGGGCGAGCGAGGTGGGCCCGGTAGGACGGAGAATGGAGAAGGTGGGTGCCACGTAAAGGGGAAAGGATGGGCTATGGGGTCTCGAGGACCTGGGTTCACAGGTCCTTGTTCCCATTTCTGAGCTATGTGGGCAAGCCGTTTTTCATCTGCTTGGTCTCCGTTTCTCTGCAAAATGGGGTGATGTACCAAGCACCTGTTGTATGCCACCCACTAGGGATTATTGTGAGCTACTTCAGGGGACAGGCTAACATGCGGGGAGCGGCTTTCATACCCTGCCCGTAGTAGGTATGGAACACAAGTATCCGTAGAGTGAGCAGAGGTGTACCTGGCTTCAGGTCACCATTGGGTTGGAACCCGAGGCTCCGTGGGTTGGAAAGGGCAGGAAAAAGGTGAAGATGTGGACCAGCAGGGGGTGAGGGCATGGGAAGCCTTCGCACTCTGGGGCTGGGGAAAGCCGTGGCTGGAAGCCGACTGGGCCAGCTTCGAGCTTCTGTCCCCTTGATGTTGCTGGGACCTCGTCAAGCAGGCTGTCTGCTGTTCTGTGCTCATCCAGGACTTTTCTCCTTGCCGCCTTTTCCGTAGTGGAGTACCCCCTGCCGCTGCTGCACAGTCCCCCTGCCCCCGTGGTGAAGAGGCCCGGGGCCATGGCTGCCCACCACCCCCTGCAGGTACTGCCCCGCCCCTCGCCTGGGATGGCTGGGGCTGCCTGCCTCGCGGGGGGGTGGGGCCCTCTGTCCTTGTTCACCTGTTCCTGCCGGCTCCTTGTCTGTTCCTGGTACGCCTGTCTTTCTCGCTGTTACCACGTGTCCCCTCTGTCCCTCCGTGTGTGGGGGGGGTCTCCTTTGGTGTCTCTCTTGGCCTCTGATCTCTGGGTCTCCCTCAGGAGCCCTCCCAGCCCCTGAACCTCACGGCCAAGCCCAAGGCCCCCGAGCTGCCCAATGCCTCCAGCTCCCCCAGCCTGAAGATGAACAACTGTGGACCCCGCCCCCCCAGCCATGGGGCCCCCACGCGGGACCTGCAGGCCAGCCCGCCCAGCCTGCCACTGGGTAAGCTTCCTGCCAGCAGGGCGTCCTATGACCCTGGGCATGTCCTTCCCTTCTGTGGGTTACAGGTTTCTGGAAAACAAGGGTTAGACCTGCTGTCTTTGGCCTCTTTGTTGCCACACTTAGTGCCTCAGAAGCTCCCTTACCTCCTGTCCCCCACCAGATCTGACTGAGCACCCCCACGTCAGGGATCCAGGCCACGGAGTCGCACAATTTCAGGGAGTGCGAGTCTGCGTTCTAGTCTGTTGGCACGCGGGGAAACAGCCAGTGTAAACAGCGCCCCCTTGGGGACGTGCAGTGCAGAGGGGATGCCAACCCCGGTGCAGAGGGTTACCCCCTCTATGAACACTCAGCCTCCCCCCTTCTCCCATAGGCTTCCTTGGTGAAGGGGACGCTGTCACCAAAGCCATTCAGGATGCTCGACAGCTGCTGCATGGCCACAGTGGGGCGTTAGAGAACTCCCCCAACACTCCCTTCCGCAAGGTATGGGCCCCCCACTCCCCTGCACCGGGGCGCAGGGAACGGACAACAGACGGTGGCTGGGGTGGAAGACTCAAGTCTGAGGCCACCAGAGGGAGGGGTGGAGGGAGGGCAGTGGGGTGATGCAGAGAGGCCGATGTAGATTTCCTCTGTCATCCTCAGGACCTCATCAGCCTGGACACGTCCCCCGCCAAGGAGCGGCTGGAGGAGAGTTGTGTGCACCCCCTGGAAGAAGCCATGTTGGGCTGCGACATGGACGGTGAGGACCCCGGTCTGGTGGGCAGGAGGGCCCGCCTCTGCTTCCCACGGGGACCAGGGTGGGTCAGGTCGTGTCTCTCCCTGATGCTTTTTCTCCCATAGTCTGTCTCTGGAATCCCCTCATCAGTCCCCGGCTGGGCCTCTGCGGAGGTCTGTGCTGCTGGCTGTCCAATGGCGGCTGTGGGAGCCCCGCCATCGCCCCCTAGTGGTCAAGTAGGAGACGACTGCCAGCCGCGGAGGCCTCTCCTTCCTTACCCCAGAGGAGCCGCCCCGCCTGGCTGACTCCACCCCTGTCCCCCAGGCTCCCGCCACTTTCCTGAGTCCCGCAGCAGCAGCCACATCAAGAGGCCCATGAATGCCTTCATGGTGTGGGCCAAGGACGAGCGACGGAAGATCCTCCAAGCCTTCCCGGACATGCACAACTCGAGCATCAGCAAGATCCTGGGTAAGGGCCAGTGGTGGGGTGTCTGGGAGCTCTCCGGGCTCCAGGAGACAGCTGTCAGGATGATGACCTTCAGAGGAGTCTAGGGTACAGGGGTCAGGCTGGATGTGCGGAGGCTGGGTCCTGGGGTCTTGTATCATTGTAGGGCTCTTTGGTTAGCACCTACACCTAAGAACTCAGGCGTGCGTGCGCGCATGCATTCTTTAGCCCCTGATCTCTCCCTAACCTATTCTGCTGTTGGTCCAGACCCTTGGAACTCTGGCTCTGGCAAGAAAAAGGAAGGACCGGTGTTCTTGGGCTATTGTTAGAAAGGTTTTATATATATATATATATATAATTTTTAAAACGTTAATTTAATCTCTACACCCAACGTGGGGCTCAGACTCACAAACAAGAGTCAGATGCTCTTCCGACTGAGCCAGCCATTGCCCCAGTAGAAGGGTTTTTTTAAAAAATTCTGTGTCCTGACTGGAGGTCAAGGAGGGATGTAGGGCAAGTGGGGCTAGAAGTTGGCAGTTGTCTTCAAGCTGGAGGCTCTTGTCTGTTGTCAACCGAGACAGTTGACAAGGTATTTTGTCTTAGCGCCCCCCCCCCCCCGCCTGTCTGTTCTTTTGTTTATGCAAATCATGCAGACCAGAGGCCTCCCAGAAGTTGCTGGGAGTTCAGGACGTGGTTGCTCAGTGTATAGGCACCCAGACACGTGCCAGCTTCATTCATTCATTTGCTCCACGGACCTCCGACGAGCCCCTGTGTTGGGCCAGGTCCTTGGCTAAATGTCGGCACATAGATCACCTCATGGACTCACCTGGGGACCCAAGTCTTGGGGCCTGCAGGGGGGCTGGGGATGGTGGGCAAAAGCCCGCACTGACCGCCCACCCCGGGGGCTGGGCCAGGCTCCCGCTGGAAGTCCATGACCAACCAGGAGAAGCAGCCGTACTACGAGGAGCAGGCGAGGCTGAGCCGGCAGCACCTGGAGAAGTACCCCGACTACAAGTACAAGCCCCGGCCCAAGCGCACCTGCATCGTGGAGGGCAAGCGGCTGCGGGTGGGCGAGTACAAAGCGCTGATGAGGACCCGGCGCCAGGACGCCCGCCAGAGCTACGTGACCCCGTGAGTCGTGCCTGCCCGGGTGGTGGGGACCGTGCACGCGTCCCTGCACCGCGCATGCTGATGGCGGTGTGTGGCGGCCTTCGTCGGGGTCTCCGGGGGTGCTGTCTGGCCTGGAGTGCACGTGTGCGTGGGCGTCATGTGTGGCTCCCTGGGCCCACCCGTGGGGCTGCAGGGGTGTAGGGTATCGGTTTGTACCTGACGGGGGGGCACTGGCCACGTGTGCCTGGAGGAAAACGTGCCTGTGAATCACAAACTCCATGAAAAAATTCAGGGCTACTAAAAACAAAGGTGCTTATCATACAGGGGGTACCTGACTTGTGAGAAGCAAGCACCTTCGTGGATTCGTGTAAACCAGAACCCCCCTGGGGCATTTAAGTCTATCACTTCCTGATGCTGATTCCCACACGTTCCCCCGGGAATCTCTGTGGAACACGCTCCTGGCCCTGAGGCTGCTCATGTGTGCTGGGCTGTAGCTGACAGTGAATGTGGCCGTCAGAAGGCAGCCCCCGGGGGGTGTGCGTGTGCTTGCGTGTGAGTGTGCGCGCGCGTCCGAACCGACAGAGTGGTGGTGGGGTGGGAGGGCACAGCCCCAAAGCGGCCTGGGGGGAGCTTTATAGGGGGTGCAAAGTGAGGGTCCTTCTGCAACGTGCCTCTCCTCTGCCCTGCAGCCCCCAGGCCAGCCACCTGCAGATGAGCTCTCCCGACGTCCTGTACCCTCGGGTGGCAGGCATGCCCCTGGCTCAGCCCCTGGTGGAGCATTATGTGCCCCGGAGCCTGGACCCCAACATGCCTGTCATCGTCAACACTTGCAGCCTCAGGGAGGAGGGGGAGGCCACGGAAGACAGGCACTCGGTGGCGGAGGGTGAGCTGTACCGGTACAGCGAAGACGAGGACTCGGAGGGCGACGAGAAGAGCGACGGGGAGCTGGTGGTGCTCACAGACTGATTTGAGCGGGGTGGGCCCGGCCCCCAGCCCGTGGGCGCAGCCGGCCGGCCTGGACTCTGTTGGTACTTGGACTTGGGCCTGCCCGGGAGAGGGGCACAGCTGTGCACTTGTAGATAGCCTCCTGGGGGGGAGATCCTCTCCCCTCCCCACACACACACCAGCCCTGCGGCCGCGCCCAGGGAGCTGCTGGCCTCACGGGGCAGGACCTGGAGAGTGGTCGGGGGCTGAGCGCCTCGGCCTGCAGGGCTCAGAGCCAGCGGACACTGTATGACCCTCCCCTCCTGCAGGTCTCCTCACCCCAGGGGTCTGGCAGCTCCAGACCTGTCCCCCTGGGGCCACATGCTTTGTTTCCATTCTTGTCCTGGCTGGACCAGCCCCCGTAGGACCAACACCCCCCCCCATCACACCCCCCCCACTCCTACTCCCAGATCGCTCCTCTGTCACAGGATCACTTTGTGCAAAAAGGTCTGGCTGTCCCCCGCTGTCTTGATCTTCTGTCCAGCCTGTTGTGCCTCTGGCTGCGGTGTACAGACGTGTGCGCGTGTATGTGTGCGCACGCAAGCACACGCGTGTTTCCATCTGTCCACTCATGGCGCGAGGTATTTATTGGGCGCCTGCTCCGTGCCAGGCACCGTTGCTGAGTTCTGTGGGTGTCTCTCGATACCACTCTTGCTTCTCTGGGGGCCTCTCCGTGCTTCACTGTCCCCAAATTGCTACCTCTTTGTCAGTCTGGGTGTCTCAGGTTCTGTGTGTCCTTGTGTGTGTTTCTGTCCTCATTTCTCTGCAGGGCTGTTCTCCTGTCTCCCTTTCTTGGGGTCTGCGCCTCTGCCCTTTTGACACCGCTGGTCAGTCTGGGTTTCTGTAAGGCCCCTGGTCAGCCCCGGGGCCCATCAGCTGCCCTGACCTCCCCTGCCTGTCCCTTCACTCCCTCCCTGACTCTCCCCTGCCGGGCGGTTCCCACAAAGCCATTTTTAGCTCCGAGCAACATGGGAATGTGCTCAGCCTCCAAGGGGCTCTGTCTTAGTGTCCCAGCCCCTGGTCCCAGCCTGAGTGCCGGGTGTTGTTGGGGACAGGAGGATTGATGGTGCCCCCCCCCCCTTCCTGACAGTTGACAGAAGCCCTGGAGAGCCAGGGCTCCTCATGGCAGCTGGTGAGTAGGGAGCAGAAGGGGGGCTCCCCATTCTTGGGTTGGTGAGGACTCTGCCCCTCTGCCTTCCTGCTCCTTCCCCCTCCCCCACTCACACTGGGGAACTTGACTCAGCTCCTGCTCACATGGACAAATTATTTCTCTAAGAAAAATCCCACGGGCACCTGACTCCACATAGATCCAGAACAGCCCTTGGGTCAGGGTGGGAAGGGAACCCCAAACCCCACAGGGGCAGATGTGGCATCTGTGCCTAACCCCCCCAGTCTTCTCCCCTTCCTCTCCATCCCCCCTTCCCTCAAGCCCAACGTCTCTCCAGGCTGTTTTTTTTTTTTTTTATGACTGTAAACATAGATAGTGCTTTATTTTGTTAATAAGATAATGATGAGTAACTTAACCAGCACCTTTCTCCTGTTTACACTTGGGGAATTTTTTTTTCTGTTGGCATAATAAAGACAGACCATTTCAGAATCTGGTTCTTACGTCGGGGTGGGGGGGGGGGGGAGGGGTGGGGGGGGTGGGGAGGCTGGCCTGGAGCCTGAATGCCTGAATGTGCCGCCAGCCCAGGCACCACTGCCCCCTTGTGGCAACTCCGGGGAAGCTTCGGGCATGGGATCTGGGAGCAAACCTCTGAGGCCAGTGAAGCCCAGGCCAAGCCTTTGGAGTGACAGATGCCACCTAGAGAGCCTGCACCCCGGAGAAGACCCTGCCCCTGCCTCCAGGAGGTAAGCTAGACTTCACCACACATTGTCTATCCCGTCTCAGTAATGAGAGCACTGGAAGCAGGAGGCCAGAACTAGCCCCATGGCCTCTGCTGAGAGGCGGGTGTCAGGTCTCCCCTCTGGGCTTTGTCCTTCTCTGAAAACACGGAGGTTAAGGCTTCACCGTAGTTCTTATCTCCTTTTGGAGAAGGAGCCCAGTGAATATCTAATGAAAGCGGTGGACCCTCCTCCCAGGAAAGGACTCCCATGGGTGCCCTAAGCCCATTTAGGAGCCCTCCAGGCTACTGAGTAATGAAGCAAGGTCGCTAACGATGTGCTTCAGGGCTCGGTGACCTTTGGTTTGAATGAGGATTTCAAAGGTGTCCCACACTAAGAGAAATAACAGCCCCTTAGACTTAAGTTTTAGTTTGTCATCAGCCCTTTTAACGATGATCAACAAAAAGACCAACTCTTATCAAACATTAATCCCCTTGTATGGAACGGGGGGAGCAAAGCTGAAGGGTAATCCTAGTGGAAGAGTGGGACTTGGGTTGGATTAATAGAGGTCGTGTGTTCACAACCAGGGAGATAGGAGAGGATGGGGGTGAGAGAAGTTAGGTGTGGTTCATTGCAGGGCCTCTTAACTGGGGAGTGAAGACTCCCCCCCCCGGAATTAGGTCCTGGCATTTTGGCTGCTGGCCTTTGCGGGTTCGTCCCAGAGCTTTAGGCCTCCTCATCTCAGGCAGGGTACAAGCACAGCCCAGCCTCCCTGGCCCCCCAGGAAAAGACCCAGGTGGTCCCTGAGGAGCATGGCTGACTGCGGCGCCTGCCCTCTAGTGGTCAGGGGGAGAACTGCTCATTTTAACTTGGCACTGTCCTCCCACCCTCCAGACTCCACTACCTCCCACACTGTGTTCCTAACCCGATCAGGGTAGTCTGTCAGGACCCTCCCAGCCAGGCTCTCCCTCATTCCCTGCCAGTCCTCAGTTCTTCTCACTTCCCTATCCCCAGGTCCTCTGTGGCTTCAGGGGAGCCTGGGGCCAATCCTGTCATCCTCCCACGCTAGGACCCCTTGTCCTGCCTTCATTCGAGCTGCTGGGATGGAATCACATGCCCTGCATCCTTTTAAGATGGACAGTGCCCTCCACGAGGACCTCTGGTTGGTACTCTGGAGCCCTATCCCTCCTGCCTCAGGAGAGGCAGGACAGCGTCAGGTAGGCAGTGAAGCCAGGAACAAAAGGTCCTGGTCATTACCAGGAGGCTGGGGCATTCTCTGCTCTCTCTTTGCAGGAGGCACAGGCCGAGGGTCGGAGCCCAGCAGAGATCAACCTCTGCCCTGGTGTGCTTTGCCCGGAGCTCTGCTGTGTGTCCAGCAAAGGTCTGAGAGAGTAGAGCCCAGCCCCCCCACCCCGGGAGTTGCCAAGGCCTGGTGCTTGGAACCAGGGGGGCAGGGGTGCTGGTTAGTCTGGGGTGGCAGTGAAAGGAGAGACAGGACTCCAGGCTTTGAGGGGGAGGGGCCTCCTAAAGTACCCACCCCCCCCCACCCCTGCCCCCAGCCGCCCCCTCCCCTGGAGCACTGGAGGAATGAGGATGTCTTCTCAAAGGCAGTGGGATGGTGCCTGCAGGTTCGCTCCTTTGGTGCAGGTGGTGGCCGGGGCCGTAGGGGCACAGGATGGTACCTGGGGGGGCCCTGTCCCAGCCATTCCCTGCTCACCACTGCAACACCGTCTCCAACGCTGTGACATCAAGGCCCCAGGAGGCTGGAAACGAAGCTGCCTTCCCAGTGGTTATTTCTGCCCTCAGCTCCAGAGGTGGATCTGAGAGGAACAAGCAGGGTGGGCACTGCCCTTTAGTCCACAAGAAGGCCCTGCCCACAAGCACCTGACCCCATGGTACCCCTGAGGGGCCCTGCCTGCCCAGCCCCAGCACTGTGCCTAGGCCGGGGCCCACCTTTTCCCCCACATCCTCCCCCGTACCCTTCCTGGGCTTGGTACGGCTACCCCTGGGGGCCCCCGGCCACACTGGATCACCATGACCTTGAAGGCCCCAGCTGCTGGGGCTAGCTCTGCTCCAGCGGTTTCCATGGCAGCCGGTACTTTTGCCGGCAGAAGCCAAACAGCCAGTCTACCTGGCAGGCAGCCACTGCTCTCCCCACTCTTCAGGGCACCGGGCACCTTCTGGGGGGCCCTGGAGGCAGCGCTGCCTCGGCAGCCCGGGCTGCTGAGAGGGGTACCCCGGCTCTCCTTTGAGCTTCTGCTCTCCCTTCCCTCAGGCCTTCTGAGAAAGTAACCGATTCATTCCAGAAATCATCGTTGCCTGCTCTCCAGCAGAGCAACACCCCCTCCCCCTCAACGGCTAGGAGCCAAAACTGGCCCAGGAAGAAGGTCCTGAGTGCGTCCCCGCAAGGTCTCGCTGGTTTCCCGCCTGGTGAGGCCCCAGCCTAGCTCCCTTCCCCCGTAGCAGTGTCCTCCTGGGCTCCCCTTATTCTAGCAAGACAGTCAAAGGCAGAAGAGTGGTGAAGGCACTAGTCGTGTCCAGACCTATCCCAAACCAGGAGCCCAGGCCTTGCGAGCCAGGTGCACGGAGGAGGGTGGGGTAGGAAACGTGCAGCCCCAGGGACCCCTGGAGGCGCGGGCTGCAACCCCCCACCCCCACCCCACTGCGGGAGAACTAATCCATCATCCCCTCTATGTCAGTCAAATCCTCACTATAGGCACTCAGACACAGAGTGGTCCAGAAATGGCCATTTTAATGCAGAAAACCATGATAATTTACAAATGAATCACTTTTTTTGGGCCAGAGCCAGGAGGCTGTGAGGGCAGAGAGGAGGTGGAGGCCGTTGAGAGTCCGGGGCCATGAGCTCAGCACCTTCACGACCCATCCTACCCAGGCTCTTGGATGCCCGGTGAGCCCCGAAGTTCCTAGCCCTGGCCCCTTGACTCCCACTACTCATTTCCTAGTGGGAAGTGCTTGGGTCCACATCAGGACAGGTGGAGAGAGGGAGATAAATCCTTAGAACTGAGGCCCTGGAGGGCAGGGCAGGGCAGGGCAAAAGGCAGAAAGCTGCTGGCTGCTGTTGGCCACCCCCCTCTGGGTTCTGTCCCCCTCCAGCCAAGCACGAAGCAGAGCTGGGCTCTGGAGGCCCAGGAGGGCACCACCCCCTTGCCTTCCCTCCCAGCAGGTGGCAGAGAGACAGAACACAAGCACAGAACAAAAAGGGCACGGGAGGCGAAGGAGCACAGGTCCTGGGGCAGAGGTCTGGGAAGGGGTGGTTTGATTGGATCTGGCTTGGAGAAAGGGAGGGATCTCAGATGAGGCGGCTTTGGGGGGAGCCGTTAAACCCAGTTCTAGACCACCCCCGCCCCCAGGATATGTACATCCATCTGTCAGAGTTGGCATGATGCTGGTTTGGGTTCATCAGCACCTCCCACGTGAGGCATGCAGGGGGAGATGGGCTGGAGGCTCAGGGCACTGGAGGTAGAAAGGAGCCCTCCCACCTCCCCCTTTCCCCAAGCCAGGAAGGTCAAAGACACATCTAAGGCAGCCCTGATTCCAGCCTGGCCTGAGGCCAGGAATACTGGGCTTCCCAGGGGTGGTTGTGGTCCAGGCCCTGGCTGACTTACAGGCACTTCCCCAACCACCCCCCCCGCCCCCTCCCCCCAAGTCTGGCAAGGTGAAGGGGACCCCCCAGAGCTGGGTCCTATCAGCCCCTCCAAACAAAAGAATGTGGTCTCCAGCAGCATCCACTGGGGGCTGGCGGCAGGGGTGGAACCTTCTCCCTGGACACCCACCTGTCCCCTCTCCCACCTTGTCCAAGTGTGTGGCCCCCAGAGCAGGACAGAGCCCTGGAGAACAGGTCTGGCCAGGCAGATGGGTAAGGGAGAGATGGGGAAGCTGGTCACTTTGGCATCTCCAAGGCTGACACTTGAGGCTTCACCTTGAAGTACTGGTGGAATCGGATCACTGCATACCTGCCGGAGGATGAGAACAGGAGCCCGGCTGAGAAGGAAAGCCAGGTGGGCCTGACCCGGGGGACTCTCACCATGAGTAAGTCTCACCAGCTCAACCCCAGCGCAGGCTTGTTTTTTTAACTTTTTAATTTTTCTTCTTAGATCGGACTGGAGCCGCCCTTCCCCAAATGCTTTTTGTTGTTGTTGTTTTGTTTTTTTAACAGTTCATTTATATCGTTATACAACAGCTCTCCAAGACTTTTTCAGTTTGCAAAACTGAAACTCTGTACCCATTAAACAGCAACTTCCCATATCTCCCTCCCCCGCAGTGCAGCAGTGCAGACCTTGGCAAAAACCACTCTACTGTTTCTTTTAAAAAAAAAAAAAAATCTAAGTAAACACACCACATGCGGGGCTCAAACTCATGAGCCCGAGGTCAAGAGTCACATGCTCTACTGACTGAACCAGTCAGGTGCCCCCCTACTCTCTGCTTCTATGAACTTGACTAATTTAGTTATATACGTGGAATCCTACAGTATTGGTCTTTCTGTGACTGGCTTCTTTCACTTAGCCTGTCCTCAGAGTTTGTATGTTGTAGCATGTGACACGGCTTCCTCTCTTTAAAAGGCTGAGTAATATTCCATCATGTGTGTAGACCACACTTTGTTTCCCCATTCAGCCATCCATGGACATGGGGTTGCTTCCGCCTCTTGGCTGCTGTGAATAATGCTATCAACATGGGTGTGCAAATAGCCCTCTGACCCCCTGCTTTCAACTCTGGCTACACACCCAGCGGCAAGAATACTGGATCGCCCAGGAATTCTATTTTTAACTATTTGAGGAAGCACAGTATTGTTTTCCCCAGCAGCTGTGCCATTTTACGTTCCCACCAGTGGCGTCCAAGGGTTCTGATTTTCTACATCCTTCCCAACCCTTGTTTTCTGTTTATCTGCTAATAGCCATCCTAGGTGTGAGTGAGATCTCACTGTGCCTTTGACTTGCATCTCCCCAGTCGCTGTGAACACTGTGAAGTCAGGGTAGTGACTCCTTTCCGGCTGAGGGAGGGGGACAGGGCAAGAAGACTAGACCAGAATGGAAAAAGACTAGACAAGATGTTTCCTGGTCCTTAAGGACATGTGTACCTGATGATGGAGCCAGGAATCAGTAATCTGGTACGGTCTCGGTGCAGACCCTAGTACCTCGCTGGAGGAGGAGCCGGGCCCAATATTGCACATGGTAAGCGCTCAACCACCTGAGTGACCTCAGGGAGTCACTTTTGCACTCTGGAAGAACTCTGTCTTCTCTGCTATAAAATGAACAGGTTTTTCACCACCAGGTTCTGTGGCTAAGAGCAATGGCCTAGGTCGTAAGATGGAGGAGGGAAAGCGAATCTCCTACGAGGCACAAGGGGAGGGTTCAAGAACTTCTGAGTACTTTCAGAGTGGTGCTCTGGGCTCAGATGTTTCCCCTAGAGTGGTGACTCCCCCTGGATACGGGGTGGCTGGAATGGGGACAAGTTAGAGCAGAGGAAGGGACTTTGGATGTTCTCCTGCGGCTGTCCTTTGCCCCCACATCCTTGGCTCAAGCTACTCCTTTCCCCCACTCCCCACCACCCCAACTCGCCCCCTGCACTCACCTGAGGAAATCGAAGTCGATGGTGGAGAACTGGTTCTGGATGAGGGCCCAGAGTGCCCAGAAGAAGTGAGATGCCTGGAAAGGGACCAAAGTGAGTCAGCAAGGCAACCACTCATGCCTGTCACGAACCCCATGGAGCTAGAGGAAATGGTCACCCTGGAAGACACAGAACTAGGACATGGGCCGAGACATGATGGGGTCTCCCTGGCACAAGTCAGGGGAATTCTGGAGGTCAAGTCACTGGACTGCATTTGGGGGCTTCACTCCCTTGAGAAAAAAGCAGAGTTCTACCTGCCCAAGGTAGGGGTCAGCGTAATGGTTCTAGAACCTTCAGCTTGTTCCCCAGCCTGAGCATAGCTCCATGCCTGGCTTCTCCCCTGCTCAGGGTAATCTCCTGGGGCCTTCAAGGCCAAGGTTCCAGGATGAGATGAACCCCCGCCCCAGAGCACAGGCCCAGTCCCACGGTCATCAGGAGGAGCCCCTTAACTGACCTCCACCCCTTTTCCCTCTTCTGTCCAGAGGTGGGTTAGGTTGGGAAAGGAGTGTAGATGTGGGAGCAAGAAGCCCTGAGTCTGGGCTTTGAATAGGCCTTCAACTGCTCTCCCTCTGGCCAGAGGCGCCCTTGGGGCCAGACTACCCCACTCCAGACTCAAGAAACCAGAGCCTGCTCTCAGCTGTCCGTGGGCAAACAGCAGTGACATCATGACTGTCCCAGGCCAGGGCCCCCCGACCCCACATCCTGCTCGCCCTGGGGTTGGCTGCATAGCACCTCCCTCCACTTTTCAGGACTTCTAGGGGCATAGATCAATTAGCCACGTGTCAGTGATTACATGGAAACCTTTAGCAAGAGGAAGGCTTAAGTGGAACAGTTAGGAGGAAGAACCTGATGGAGAATCAGTTTTGTGCCAATGAGGAAATCAGGAGAGGTAATCCAAAATGACACGTAAGTAAAGATTCTACTTAACCTCCATGATGTACTGTGAAATTCAGGGCAGTGGACTTGTCTTCTTGCTTCTATGTGCCTGACATTAATAAGACTAGTTAGCAATCCCCTGGACACACACCGGAGGAGACCGGGCATGAACCAGGTACCCTGGATAAACGGCACTCAAAATCAAGAACTGACAGCTCAGTAATTTGAGCAGGAAGAGCCTGATGGGAGAGGCTTACATGGAGTTGAGTCAGTGAAGGTAGCTAACAAGGAGGATTAGAACTGACATTCTTTATCTCCTCCAAAGGCTTTAAAAAAAAAAAAAAAAAGTTTAACTGCAGCATGAAAGGCTAACGTTAGACGCTAGAGAGAACTGCTTGTCCAAATGAGAGAACTGCTAAAACAGGAAGCTGGGCTCTTTCTTGGAAGTCTTTTCCTAGAAAGGAGAAAGAGACTTGACAGGATAGGGAAAAGCAGGAAACAGGGCATCTCAGTATTCTGGGGATGCTCAAGAGGGCTCTTCCCAGATCTCACCTCGGGTCCTGGGGTCCTAGGACCTCACCCCTCACCCGGGCCTCTGCTTCCTCCACCCTGGGCTGTGGGAGCGGAGGAGCTGGGGTTGGCCCCTCCTCCCAGCCCCTCCCTCCCCTGCCCTCTCCCTGGCCCACACTTACCAGGGCAAACTTGTTGACTTGCACATAGAGCCTCTCCACCTCCCTGGGGGTCACGGCCATGCCCTTCTGTGCCTGCAGGTAATAGCGCAGCCACCGAAGCTGGGTGTCCCGGCCGGGGTACCAGCAGTAATCCACCTCGTTCACACCTGATGGGAAGCAACCACGGGGCAGTTGCTGGGAGGTGGGCCCACCTGGGGAGGGGGCTCCTCCAGCTCATCAGGGGTTCCCTACTCCCCTCAAAACCTCCACATACATCCTGCCGGGCTGAGCCTAGGAATACAGCCTCCTGCCCACCAAACTTACCCAATGTGGGGAGCTGGGGGCTCTGCTTTCCATGGGCTGAAGGAAAGCACAGAGGCAGACTGGTTGTAGGGCGAGGCATGGTCTTGGGTGTGACAGGGACCCCTAAGACAGCATCACTGTACCCCCGTGCCCTTTACAGAAACTATGCCCACAGAAGGTGCTCCCTCACAGTACCACGTCAGGGGTCTCCCCTTTGGTGGGATGCTGACCAGTGAGCCCTACACGAGGCCTTCCCTCCCACTGCCCGGAGTGTCTCATTTAGAAGTGTGGGGCCTTCGACTCTGCCTCCTGGACCAGTGTTGAGCTGGCTCCTTCAAAACATCGCCTGCAGAGCTTGTTAAAAACATAGGTTCCCAGGCACCTCTAGCCCCCTGTCCAATTCTCCAGATGATTCAGGAATGCAGCCACGCTTGGAACCCCTGGACCGGGTGGCTTCGATTCCTTCCGGTCCTGCCCTTCCTTGAGTCCTCGAGCTGCCGGCCCAATGCGCACCAGCCACATCCCGGGCCCTGTGGCAGCGCCTTGCCTTCGAGCTGGCACGGAGAGTCATAGTTCACTTAAGACAGGACCAGGACCAGGCCACCTTGCCCGCGGTCTCTTCCTCCCTCTCCTTTCCTCCCTGTCCTTCCCAAGCTTCCCTCATACTCCTGGAGAAACACACTCAGTCTCCTGGGGCCCCAAGAGGATGGCTGGGAAAGAATCCCCTGGTGCAGGTGTAGAAACTCAGGCCCAGAGCGCAGAAGCTCGCTCCCGGTTAGAACTCTTACCTCCTGCCTCCCAGAACGGGGTCTCCCTGCTCCCGAGAACCCAGGTGTTCTCCCTCCCCAGTTCCCAATCTCCTTCCCTGCCTTCCTCCTTCCTTCGCAACCTGGGAGCAGGATGCAATCTGCCTCTTTGGAGAAATTCCAGCTGGACCTTGCTCTATGCGGTGGGTGAGGAGGGCTTGAAATGCTTCAGAATGATCCCTTCTGGAAAGGCCAGTGGGTCTGGCGGCTGAGCGCTCAGAGGCCCAGGGCCTCTGCTTGGTGCCACACCCCACAGCATCACGGCTCTGCCCAGCTGAGGCCCCACTGTCCTGCAGGTTCCTAGATGCAGCTGCTGGCCACCCTGGGAAGTCATACCTTCAGGGGCAATGAGCACTTGACAGACCTGGTCACCTGGGGTTCTTGAAGGGACACAATTGGCCAGGCTTGGGCTGGGGAGTGGCCGAGGCTGGGCCAGGTGGAAGTTTTGGAGCTGGCCTAGGTGTGCCTCACCTGTCCTGCGCCCCAGGGGCTGGCTCCATCATGCTGAGCACCCCACACTGCAAGTCGGATGATGTCCCTCCAGTCCCCGGGGTCCAGCTCCATCCATGGGTTGCCTCTCTGGTCCCATCAAATCGTTTAACAATGAAGCCCTCAAGCTGGAAAAACCTGCCCGGCTTCCTCACACAAATGATTCTATTGTACATCCTGGGCCTTTGCTGAGCTGGCTAGCGCAACAAAACAGCCCTCATCCAACCCCATCCGCTCCCGCGCCAGTCTCCCTTAGCTACCGGCAGGCTTCCCTGCCTAGTACCAGTGAACACCAGCATGAGGCTTAGCATGTGCTACACGTGTGTGCGTGTGTGTGTCTCACGTTGATGGGACGAAGTAGGTACTACCAGTATCTCCACTTTCCAGAGGCCTAGAGAAGCTAAGGGCCCAGCCCAAGGGTCACACAGCTAGTAAGCAACAAAGCCAGGATTTGAACTTGGACAGTCCAGTTGGAGCGTATACGCTTTTCACGAGTTCCACCTAGATGATTCTCATCAGGCCACCAGCTCGTTCTGCTCCTTCTCTGCATGCAGGACCCTTACTCACGATTGTGCAGGTGATGCTGGGAGAAGGCAGCCTGGGTGAAGGGGCAGGCAGAAGCTACGTCTGCCCAGGGGAAGGGGGCTTTTTCTTAAGATTTTTTAATTTTCTAAGGTAATCACCCGACGTGGGCCTTGAATTCACAGCCCCAAGATCAAGAGTCGCACGCTCCACTGACTGAGCCGGCCAGGCACCCCAGTCTTTTTCTAACTCACATGCCAAGCCCAGTGTCCTTAGGGGTCCTACGGAGGGCACGTTCTCCTGATTTGTACCAAACTGCCAGATGGGCTAACGGGTTGGCTCTGTGTGTGGGGGTCCGGCCTCCCACATGAGACTTGGTGCTCCCTCAAGGCAGGTTGTGCGTTCCTCCATGAGTTGTGAAATTTTGGAGGCCAGGGGCTGTCAAGTCTCTACCCAGCAGGGCCAGAACCCCCTCTCATCTTCACCCTGGACCTGGCCATCCATCACGAGGAAAGTATCTTGAACAAAGACCAAAGAGCAATACCCTGCTCACCTGCAAACTCATTGAAATGGTTGCCAATGTCAAAGGCTTGGTAGTTGTAGCCGGCGTACTCATAGTCAATGAACCTTACGTGACCTGTGGGGCAGGAGAGAGGGATGAGGGTCGGTCCCCGGAGATAGGGGAACGGCCTGGTCAAGTCCCCACAGACCTCCAGAATGCACGCACAGACTCTGGCTGGCCTCTCGTGGCAACCCAGCCCCCACCCTCCCCAGTGGCCGCCTTCGACACTATTCATTTGTCCATCTGCCCTCCAGCTGTCCCTCACACAGGTGGATCCTCAAGCTCTGCTCATCTACAGACATCTATCCTCAGCATGGCCGAGGACCAGAAATAAAGGTCAGGGCTCCCTGGGGCTGGAGCTCTCATTAGGCACACAGGAAGGTTCTGTCTCTAGGAGGGCCTGGGCCACCCCAGATGACCTCAAGCCCAAAATGTTGTCGGCGGGGAATGGCTCAGGTGGCCTCACATCAAGGACCTCCACAAACCACAGTTTTGAGTTCTTTCCGGGCATAGGTTTTTCTAGGTAGAAATTTATTTCCTTTTCCCTTTCTCTCTCTTTTTTTTTTTTTTTTTTTTTTTTAGTTTTTTTTTGGTAATAGCCATCCTAATAGGTGGAAGGGGATATTTTTTTTTTTTTTTTTTTTTTAAGGTTTTATCCATTTATTTGACAGAGAGAGACACAGCGAGAGAGGGAACACAAGCAGGGGGAGTGGGAAAGGGAGAAAGAAGCAGGCCTCCCGCAGAGCAGGGAGCCCGATGCGGGGCTCGATCCCAGGACCCTGGGATCATGACCCGAGCCGAAGGCAGGCAGACCCTTAACGACTGAGCCACCCAGGCGCCCCTCCCTTTCTCTATTAACTTGAGATCTAAACTGGAAGGTCGCCTTTTGCTTGTCCAAGGGCCAGTCTGAGGACCGGCACCCCAAAGGCAGCTGATCGCTGTGGCCCAGCCAGAGCCCGGGAAGCCGTACCTTTGGTGCTGTCGTAGATGATGTTCTTGCAGAGCAGGTCATTGTGACAGAAGACCACAGGGGAGTCCAACTGGGACAGGTGCTCCTTCAGCCAGGCCAGCTCCTGTTCCAACACCTCCACCTGGGGGACATCTGCGGAAAGGCTGGGCAGCGGCCAGAACGGAGGCTGACAGTAAGACAGGCTGCCACTGGGCCTCTGGAGCCCTGAGCTCTGGCCCTGCCACCGCCTGTCCCCGCAGAGGACCCCGGGCAAGGGGCCCGCCCTTCAGACCCTCACTTTTGTCCTCCGGCGCTAAGGCGTCCTGATCTGACTTCCTGCAGTCACTCTAAGCAGCTTTATTAAAACACGGGTGTGAAAGCATTTTGCAAAGCTCGCATGTCCCCGATCCGATGGCGTCCCTGCTACTTCATGAAAGGGGGAGGAAGGTAAGGGAGACGGCACAGAGAGAGGACAGGAGGGGGGAGTGTGCGTCCACACGAGAACAAGGGCAGAGGGGAGAGCTGTGAACAGACCTGCTTTCAGGGCGCTGGGGAAGATGCCTACAGGGAGGTGTGCTCCAAGACTGTCTGGGGGAGGCATCACAGTGCTCTGCAGAGGGGCCGGAGGGTGGACACTCCTGGCCGGTCCCCCTCCTCTTCTAGCGGCTGGTGTCACAGGTGGAAAGGACCAGAGAGCTCATAAAGCCTAACTTCTCATCTCACAGAGAGACTACCCAGGCCCACTTAAGAAAGCAAACAAACTGCTTCTTGGGCTCACTCCTACAAGACCAAGGGACTATGAGGGCCTTTCAATTGAGCATTTGCTCTGAAGCTCCCTGGTGACTTGTCCCCTCCACCTTGAACTAGGAGCATGTGTATCCTTGTCCCAGACCACGCATGCGTGGGCAACTTGCGGGCAGGAACATGGATGACAAAGGCCAGCCCGCTTTCTGCCCTGCCCCATCCCACAGCACCTAAGGCCTTGCTGCTGAAAGAAACCCATGCTGAGGAATGAATGAATGGACGGGTCAGCCGGTGCTGGTAGCAAAGGCCATGTGGAAGTTGGTGAGGACACACTGTGCTGGGATGCTCTGAACTTTGGTCCCCAGGAAGCACACAGGACTGTGTACACTGAAAAGCCAAATAGTTAGCACAGCCCTTAAAACCCCAGAACCACCAATGGGTGGAGGGGAGGAGGCTGCGGTTTTATCTCCTGTTCTGTCTCCATGTAGCTTCTGTTTGCTTTCTTATCCGGGGCGGCCAGAGTACGTGCAGGAGGATGAGCGTGAGACCCGTCCTCCCGATCCTCCCCCAGGATGCCCCGTCAGCCCCTCACATGGCCCAGAGACTAAAACATGGCAAAGAGCGTTCAGCAACTAAGGCATCCCCCTCTCCCCCTGGGAAAGGATGAGCGGCAGGCTCCCTCCCAGGCTCTGAGAAGGTCAAAGCTAGAGAGGATCTTAGACCTCTAATGCAAGTCTTTGGGGAAATGGAGACTCAAGGAAGAGGGCAGAGGCCTTCTAGCTTCCAGATGTTTCTTGCACGGCTGGACCCTCTTCCCCCTCACCCAAGGGAAGCAGTCCTCAGCCTGTGCATGGATGCAAAATCAAGCAGAACCTCCTAACTGCGAGGGCCTCGGTGCCCCTCAGAGGCTCCGCACAGGCCACTCTGAGCTGGGGAGAGTCTAACGAGGGGGGTGATCTGGGGGGAGGGGGGGCTTCCTTTAGCCTCACTGGAGTTTATCTGTGTCAACCGGTCTGCATAAACGCATTTCAGTCTTGGCTTTCCTTAAGAAGATACCTTTCAAGATTCTTTTTTTCTTTTCTTGGTCCAAGACCATCTAAAGATAAGAGTTAGGCGGCCTCCTTTGGTTTGCTCTGGTCTCAGCCTGAAAAACATGTCTTTGACATCTAAGATACCTGCTGCCCAGGCCCTGACCTCCTCCTGACCCCCACCTTACCCACCCCAAGGCCACGCAGATGGTTACTGTGGGAGCGGTCCAGGCCTTCTATCTCCCTGGGCAGCCTCCCTCCCCTGAGCACTTGAAACCCTGCCAGCTTCGCTACCTTCAGCCCTGAGCCCACTAGACTTTCTCAGGGCTGTGCGGTTGGCAGAAGAGTGGCCACCACTGCGTCATAGAAGCTGTCACACCCCAGGAAGCCTGCTCCTCCTACTCCTCTGTCCCTTAGAGGCAGCGGGGGGCGGGGGGGGCGGTGCAGGGGCTGCCCCCCCCGACCCCGGGAAACCTGGGGGTTCCTCCTGGTGAAAACACTTCTGCCTGCCTGCTAAATACCCACTCAGCTCGCCGGATCTGGGTGGAGGGAAGTACCTTCTCCCACAGTGGACTGAGTGTTGGAGCTTCCTGGCTCATCACCTTTGCCCTTATACCACTCAACCCATCCCCATCTCCTCCTGATGCCCCCAAAGCAGCGATCACCCCCCACCCTCTATGCCCAACCAGACACCAAGACCACCAAAATCTATTTCCACAGGGTGCCTGATGCATCCCCCACTCTCCTCTCCCCCAACTCCATCCACCACCACCACCATGAAGCTGCCCGTGGATCCTGCCCATTCAGTTACAACACTCCCTGAGCTGGTCGCCTTACCTCCGATCCCTACCCCCACTTCCCCAAATCCCACCTGATTCTGTCCTTTACAATGCCAGAGAGCTTTCTCCCTAAACCACAGTCATGGTCCCTGGCTCAGAGGCCTCCACAATGACCGTTAAATGAAATGTTGGCTCCTTAACCTGACTTGGAAGGGTCCTCCCGGTCTAGCTCCAACCCACTTCCCACAGCCCTTCCCAATCCCTCCTGAAGGCCTGCTCCGGCCACCCCCATCCACTGGCCACCCAGGAGCCAAGTGTGTTCACACCATCTCCGCCAGCCCGAGAGGCCTCCCTTCTCAGCTCTGCCCCTCTACCTCTGCCAGGAAGACTGGCCCTGGTTCTCCCACCGCCACATGCATTACACGCCCTGCCTTCTTTTGTCGCTTCGCATGGGCAGGTCCTATTTACCCAGATGGTTCCTAAGCTCCTTGAGGGTAGGGCCAATGTCACGTCCGTATTTTTCATTGTTTTAAATCCCAGTTGAGGTTTGTAAAATGCAGGATTGACTAAATCAGGGTTATTAGACTGTGACTAGAGCTCAAGAGTTTCATCTCATCCAGGTGACTGCTCATCACAGCCCCGCTTGGGGCAGGTTAGGCAGTTTAGGGCAGGCACCATCCCCTAAAGAGCCTCCGAGAAGTTAAACAACTCGATTTGCCAAGGTCAAGTGTATGACAAGAGCAAAGGCAGTCGGTCAGCTCTTCTCCAGGGACCACTCCGCTCCCAACAAGGTCACCCCTGAAGGTTACACAGTGACAGTACAAAGGAAGCTAAAGTAGCAAGCGTCATGCCTGAGCAGCAGGTCTGGACTCTAGCCCTTGAGCTGCCACTGACCTTGGGCAAGTCCCACCCCCTCTCCAGGCCTCAGTTTTTCCATGTACCAAATGAAAGTGGTGGGCTGCATGATCAGAGGGTCCTGTTGACTCAGACATCCCAGGGTCCTGCTCTCCATGTGTTGTTTTAGCCCTAAGGGATAGGCAGTCCCTGTCCCAGAGATAACATTTGGCATCGAAGGTCTGAATGTGGGCCATCCTGGACAAATAGTCCTAAAGCAGTGCTTGATAATCATTAAGTGGGAGGATCCAGATAAAGTCACGCGTGTGTGTGTGTGTGTGTGTGTGTGTGTGTGAGAGACAGAGACAGACACACACACATGATTGAGATAGAGTTAATTATTGTCATCTTAGAGGAGGGAAGGAGATACCTTACACTCCCATGAACCTTTGGAATAAGGGAGATGTTCAACCCAGCAGGGAACATGGAGGGATCAGACTCACTACTGCCTGCCCCTGGAGGGGGCAGGGGTGACCCACTCTTCTCTCCAACTCTCTATGCCTCCTCCAGCACTCAACGCTATGCTGGGAGCCAGGCAGCTGAAGGCTAGAAGGACTCTCAGGTTGCTGGCCAGAGAGCCTAGCTGTCTGGGAGCCCCGTCTTCCCTGGGGAAAGGCACTGTCAGGATGGGTGGAGTACCAGTGAGGAAACGGTAAGCTGTCAGTGTGAACAAGGTGAGGAGCAGGGTCCCCGGGGCATGTGCGGATGAGAGGCGTCTAGGCAAGTAGCAGGAGTCTTGATGCCCCAAGGGCTTGTCAACTGACAAGCTGAGTTCTGACTGACTGAACTCGGCCTCACCCCATTCTCAGAGGCCAGGCTCTCCCTTCCGGTTGCTCAGAAAGCAGCTTAGGTAGAAAGGGCCCTGGGCTAGGAAACAGACCCCTGCCTCTGATGAGCCCCCAACACTGGGTAAAGCTTAGTCTCTGAGCCTCGGTCTCCTTTAAGTAAAGGGGGAGACGCAGTCCCCAACCCTCGTCTCTACCACAACCAGAAGACTCAAAGTGAAATAAGCACATAAACACAGGCTTAAAACTGTGGATCTTAAGTTCCTGAGATTCAGTCGATCGGCCCAACTCTGCTTGGAGACAGAGACTCAGAAGTCAGGACTGGAGCCCTTCAGCCTCTGGGTGGGGTGGGGGACGGAGCCCAAAGAATGGAGGCGGGATAACATGAAGGCGGCAGAGACGATGGCAGCTTTGAACCCTCCCAGATCTTTGTACCTGGGGTTGATCTCGTTCTTCACAAGGGTGAAGTAATTGTGCATCTTGTGCCACAGGGTGGGCTTGGGCAGGCTGCCGTTGGCGTGGATGGTGTGAATCTTTGCCATTTCTAAGGCGATTAGCCTAAACAGAAAACAGGAAGAGTAGAGCATCAGTGTGGGGCAGGCCCGTCCCAGCTCAGCCCCTCCTGACCAGAAAGGGGTCCTACAGGGTGAGGACTGCGGGCCAGTCAGAGGGCTGAGTGTGGGACAGCTCTTTTAGGGATTCTCGCTCCTGCAGCAGGAAGGTCCTAGCAGAAGGCATGAAAATGACGTAAGGCCTTTAGCCCAGCAGTGACCTTTCCAGAACAGGAGCTGGGGCTGCTTCAGGGAGCAGGAAGGCAAAGCCGTGGGCCGCCAGCCACAGGTCAGCGACCCTGCCCCACCCCAAGGTCGTGTACCCACAGCAACCCCTGAGGACAGAGGGGTCACCTGGGGATGGGGGCAGTAGCCCTCCTCCCTCCTTGGACTCTGATCCATGCCCTCAGGGGGAGGTGAATGCAGGGCACCAAGGGATCAGGGGGGGTGGTGATGCCAGGCTGGGAAGAAATGCCCGCCTCTTATCAGCCTGGCCAAGGTGGGGAGGGAAGCAGGCCGGCCCAGGGCAGCCCCTTCCTCTGCGGCAGGGAGTTGATGCTGGCGGCTGGGTGCCAAGGACGCAAAACAAACCAGCGTTCTATTTTCAAGTCCTCCTGTGGACATTATCCAAGGTCCCGGGAGAGAAGGAGGGGGCGGTGGGGAAGGGGGCTGGGAGAGGGCGGGGGCGGATGGAGGACTGACCGGTCAGAGAGGGAGGGCCTTGATAAGGACCCCAGCGTCTGAGGCCCTGCATCCCAGCTGGGCTCCCCCAGTCCTCTGGCAGCTCTCCCTTCTGGGGCCCCACCCCCAGCCCCGCTGCCAAGCCTCCAACATTCACGCTTCCTTCGCCTCTGCCTGTTGCTCGAATAATAATCACTGGGAAAGACAACAAAGGCATTGGCTGTTTGAAACCTTGTTCCTGAGCTGTTCCAGGGACACCCCTCCCCTTGCCAGGTCCTGGGAAGGGGCAGGCCGTCACCCAACAGGATAGCAGGGCAGTCTAGGGTCTCCTCCGGAAGCCCCCCCAGGCTCCCAGCTCCTGAAGGGTGGAGGGGGCAGGGGGTGTGGCAGCCACCGAGAGGGTGAGCGGGTGAGAGATGAAGGCTGTGCTTTCAGAGGCTAGAGGCCCTGGGGCAGGAGGGAGCCCGCCAGGGTTTTAGGCGAGGCAGGGAAATAGACCTGAGACCCAGGCCTTCCCTTCCCAAAGGAAGATTCTGACTAGAGCACGAACAGAGCGTTTCCTTGAATATCAATAGGGCTGTTGTCTGGAAAAGCAATGACAGTAACCTCAACACTCAGCATTTTTATGCTGCAAAGCCTCAGCAGGCAGAGGCTGGGAGGTGGGGGTCAGGGGAACGGGGGACGTGGCTCCCCAAGGCGTCCTCCTTGCCTTTCCCCGCAGAGATCCACCTTCACCCGAGAAAGATAATGGTCTATCCTTGGAAAATCATCAGGGAACAGCCTACCTCCTACACCTATCCCAGTTTCTGGCTCTCCCCCAAATGTAAAGTTGTTATCGAACCTACATCCATCTTCAATCTTCCCGACAGTGCTAATTGTTTCCACGAGAGAACAAGGAACAGCACCGTATTCATAGAGGTGGCCGGAGACTGGGAGGGACCTGGGGAGGACCTGCCAATATTTGAGCTTATTTACAAAGACTTGAAGGAGAGCTGGGAGCAGAGCGTAGAAGCCAGGCCATGGTTCCCTGGGCCCCCACCCTCCTCTGACCTCCTACCGCCAGGCTGGGCACTCAGCGGGAGCCTGAGAAGACCACTCAACAGGTCTGTATGTCCCCCTAACTACACACACACACACACACACACACAAACATACAACTGAACATAAATACCCCAGGGCCTGACCAGTCCCAGAGGCAGTGCTCCAGAGTACTAGAGGGGAATGCATCTCAGAGTCCCTTCTAAGTCCCTGGAGGGCCTGTCAGGGGTTCTCCGCAAATAGGGCCAGGTGCACTTACTTGGGGTTAACTGAGTAACAGGTGAGGAAGCAAGGAACCTTCTTGGTCTACTCCCTAGATGGGCTTTTATTGTTTCTCCTCGGTATTTGGGGGTATTTGGAAGGCTCCTTCTCCTTGGCTGTGACGGGACTGATCCCAAGGATCCCAGGCCAACCCCTCTGCTGCTGTCCAGGGTCAGGAGTCAACCTCAGCCTGCCTGGGACCTCGCTATAGTTGGAGGGCTCCGCACGCAGGTGCGGCACGGGGGTGGGGGTGGGGGTTGGGGATTCTGCCTGACATCCCTGCCCAGAACGGTTAGAGGAGAGAAAGGCACTCTGGGCTCCTCTTTAGTTCTCCCCCTTCCAGACCCCACAGAGCCATCCACGGTGCTTGAAGGTTAAGTCTACTTCCTGGGTCCTACACATCCAGGCATTCAGTGGGAGGGGCTCCCAGGGGGTCATGTGTTCTTGTGGGCCTCTGGAAGGAAGGCTTGGCAGCTGCCCAAACCTGGGCTCCCACTTTGTTGGGGGAACCTGGAAGGAGCTCAGACTGGCGGAGGGCTGGTGTCTCTCTGTGCTGCTAAACCCAAGCTCACCCTGGATAGGGCCCATTCTCCTAGCATGCTTGAGCTCCTGGCAGGACGGGAGGGGCAGGAAATCCTGGGCGCTCTGGGGATTTGGCTCAGATTTCATTTCCAAGGCTCTGAGAGGTTTCCAGGTCAGACATGGGGTGGGCAAAAGGGCTGAGACATGAGGCCAGGAAGCAGAGCCCTGCTGCATTTAGGGAACCAGGTCCTTTGGTCTCAGGTTCACTAAATTCTCACTTGCCTCCCTAAGAGGCAGGTCCCCCTTCTAACAGATGCCACTGAAAATCCATTCAAAGCAATGGCCCCTCTCTGCAGAGCAAAGTGCGCACACACACAGTTTTCATGCAATTTCAGGAAGTTCACAGACCTTATGACTCATTCATGGACTCCACTCTACGCCGAGGAAGCTGGCCAAGGCCTGAGGAATCGTAGGAATGAATGGTACCCCGGGCCACCTTCTCACCTGAAGAGCCGGGGCTCCCGGATGTGCTCGGGTCCCAGGGCCATGCCCCTCATGTACTCGTAGCACAGCCCATTCTGGAAGGTGCAGTAGAGTTTGGGGGCACAGCCATGTGCTCGCAGCAGCTGGAAGTTCCTGACCTCATTCTCCCGGTCCACCAGCAGCTCGGTACGCTCCCCGTACACCCGCACCAGCACGCAGTCCCGCATGTCCTCCTCTACGTAGCAGGCCACCAGCTTGTTGGTGATGCCATCAGTGAAGCGCTGGCATGGGGAGGGGAGCACAAGAGCGCGTGGGGCAGGGTCTCTGCTCTTGCCCCATGGCTCCTCAGCTCCAGCATGGGGTGCTCATTTGCATGCCCAGCACAACCACGCAGAACCCCCCCATTCTTTGGCCCTCTAACTTAAGAGGAGCTCAGCACTGTTTCTAATGCCTTTACCCTCCTCAGTGCTTGGGATAGCCTGAGTTCGAGAACAAAACCTTGGCTCAGGCACCCTCACCTCTCCTGGGTCTGGCAGATGGGATTTGGCAGTGGAAGAATTTCCACACTCCTTGGTGGGAGAAGCCCCCTCCCCTCTTCTTACTTCTCCATCCCCGAAAGAAACCTCCATGGACCAGAATGTGGCCAGAGAGGAGCGGGAGCTGCCCAGGACAAGTACATTCTGACCCAGCTGCCTCTCACCATCTGCCCAGCTGGGGACTCTTTGCTGCACCTCACGCCCCATCCAGCAGCGGAGGTGCGGGAGGTACAGAGGTTGGCACCCAGCTGAGCGCTTTGGTGGTCGGAGCTCCTTTAGGGCCTCTGAGTTCCAAACCAGAAGAGACAGTAGGCCATGAGCTGGGGAAAACAGACTCTCTGGGTACGGTGACAAGGAGGAATGAACCATGGAATTTATAGGGCACAGTGTGACAGAGCTGGTAGGGGCTCTAGAGGACATCTGAACCGATTCTAGGTGGGGAAACTGAGGCCCAGAGAGGGGAGAGACTGGCAGGTAGCACGTTCAATCAGTGCTGGAATTAACTTCAGACCTGCTGGATCCCTTGTGGGTCTTACAACCAAAGTGGGTCTTTTATTTTGAAAATGCTACCCACCCATCCTTCCCCCAAGAGGTGTCCGTCAGCCTCCGCACTGGGTGGGGGAACCTGGCCTTTCCCCACCCAGAAGGCCCTGGCAGCACCGAGCCCCTGCCACTCCAGCACTAGCTGCAGGTGCCGGGCTCAGGACTCCTTCCTCCGCACGCAGCTCCCAGAGGGGCTGGCGGGGGAGGGTGAGCAGGTGAAGCCTCTTCAGAGGATGCAGATCAGCTGGGGAGTCTGCCTGAGGCTCCTCAGTGGGAGGCTCTGCCCACATCTGTGTCCCCGAGAATGTGCCCAGCTGGGGGGTGGGGAGGCCCCCTGTGTGGGGGTGCTGAGCCTGAGCCTGGGGCGACGGGGAGGGTTTCCACCCAGCGCGGGGGCCCTGGGCTAGCCGGAATTCCACACGGTGGCTCCTGGGACCGGCAGGAACCGCTCAGAGCCTGGAGACTTTGCTCCCACCACCGGCTGGAGAAGGGGCAGGGATGTGGATGTGTATGTGTATGTGTGTGTGTGTGTGTGTGTGTGTGTGTGTGTGTGTGTGTGTGTGGAGGTGGGGGGCTCCCTTAAAAGTTCCTGCCTCCTCAGGTTTCAGCACCGGCCGCGCGCGCTCCTCCGGGCGGCGAGGGGCACCGGCGCACGGCGACAGGGGGTGGGGCCCGCGCGCGCAGCTTGCTGACGGTGGGCAGGTGGACCTCCGGCGGCCCGCGAGCCCTGGGAGGAGGGGGGTGTGGGGGCCGGGGGGGGGCGTGTGGGGGCCGAGGGAGGTGGGAGCCTGGCTCTGCTTCGGGGCCAGAACAGACGAAGCAAAATACACACCCAAACCACCATTGCAACCCTGCCCTGCGCACCCGTGGGACCGCCACCCGGAAGGATGCACGGACAGACATCCACGCATCCCCGCTCCAACCCCGACAGGGCCCCAGCCCGGCCCCGCGCCCGCTCGGCTACCTTGGTCCGAACTTGCTCGGGCTTCCAATGCGGCCGCAGCTCCTGGATGAGGCGCAGGGCGCCCGGGAGGATGTCGTCCTGGTCCACGGATATGCCGAAGCAAGGGACGGCGGCGGCCCTCGGGGCGCCCGGCGGCTCCCGGCAGCCCGCGCTGGCCGCCGCCTTCTCCTCCATGCCCCATGAGCACTGCGGGCACGGCGCCTGCCGCCGCAGGTAAAAGGGCGAGCACGGCAGAGGAGCCGAAGGGGGCACAGCCATTCCCAGCAGCCCCACCCCCTCGGAGCCGCCGCGCGAGCGCTAGCCCCTGCGGGGGGGCCCGGCGCGGCGGTGGGAGTGGTAGAGGAGGGGCCAGGGGAAGTCCATGACTCAGGAGCCCGCTGCCCGCTCCGATCGGCGCCCGAAGCCGACCCGGGAACGCCGGAGCCCGCCGCGATTGTGACATCATCACGGGCGGCAGGCCGCGGGGCGGGGGCCCGGGAACGCCCCCGCCCCGCCCCCGCCCCGGCCCCCAGGCCTCCGCGGGGTCGGCGGCCGCCGCTACCTGGAGCGCGGGGCGGGGGTGACGCCCTCGGGGAGGCCGTGACGCCGGGGGCGGGGCCCGAGGTCGCCCCGCCCCGCCCGCCCCGCCCCCACCCGGGCCCCAGGCCCCGCAGCGCTTGTCGGCCTCTGAGCCCGGCGAGGTGGCCGGCCTCCTTCCTCTTGCCTCGGCGGGGGCCGCTCTCCCCGGGCAGCCTGGGCCAGGGACGGGGGAGGCCTCTTCCTGCGCCTCTGCTCCAGCCCTGGTGGATGGAGATCCGGCTGCCTCCAAGAGGTCAGCTTGGACTCGGCCACCTGTGCCCCAGGTCCCTCCTGGAAAAGGAGTCCCCTGCTGCATCTCAAAGGCCCTTCCCTGCAGGGAACCCCCCAGGCAAATCCTGCCTCCCCCCCACGCATAAACGAGGTGCAGAGGTGACATTGGGTGATGCATGTGGAGGGTGGGTGTGCCAATGGGAACCGAGCTCGCTTGTCTTCAGCCCGGGTGGGAGAGCTCTCGAGGCCCCATCCAGAAAAGTGCCTACAGAGAAGGGGCCTTTTTGTTTCTCCAAGTTGTTCCTTTGGCCTCTTCAGGAACCTCTCAACCACAAGGCCCCTATCATTATTGCCTTCCAGAATCCAGCTCTGCCCAGCGGAACTTCTGTGATAGTGAAGACGTTCTATATCCGTGCTGCCCAGCGCAGTGGCCACTAGCTACATGTGATTGTCCAGCACTTGAAATATGGCTAGTGTGACATTCGACTTAATTTTAAGGTAAACAGCTATATGTGGCTATGATATTGGACAGCTCAGGAGATGATGGGGAAGGCTGCCTTTTTAAGGTCATGGAGCCCCAGGATATCGAGCTGGAAAGGACACGGACTCCAACTCTGCCTTTTTGCAGTGAGGAAATAAAGCCAGGCTGGCAAGAGAACTTAGAAAATGGGGCAGGGGGTCCGAGGCTGGGATCCAGGGTCCTGAACACGGGCTCATGCCCTTGGCTCTGCGCAGGGACCCTGCAGACAACTCCTGCCTTTGGGAATCTGCCCTGGAGGAGCCCCTGGGTCCCACACAATCCCAAAGGGTGGCAGTTCTAGAGGTATGAAGTTTGCTGGGGGCCTGGTTGGCCACTCCGTGCTTTGCCCCTTTTTGGTCAAAAGAGGGGTGGACAGCTACCATGAAGGGGGACACGTCCATGGCTTCAGGTTGGTGCTTTCATTCCCAACATATACACCCCATGCCGCTAACCCGAGGAGTAAGAGTGGGAGAAGACTTCAGCCTGTCGAGTCCCGTGTCTGTGCGAGGGGGGACAGCAGTGTGTGGCTGTGTGCTTGTGCATGTGGGCCCCTTGCCAGGGTGTGTGCGGCTCCGTACCCGAGAAAATATGCCTGCATGGGATCAGGTGCCCCAGTCATATGGGCTGGCTTCTAATCTTGACTTTACACATTTCGACGAGCCATCTTGCTCAAATGCCTTCCATCCTGAGGCTCTGTTTCCCCACATGTACAAAGGGAGTATCAGTCAGATCTCCAGTGTTCCACATTTTCAGGTGATGGTGTCTTAGATTGCACGTGTAAATGGTGATGTGGGCCAGGGGGTTAGGGGGTTGGCCGGGCATGAGAGGCAGGGTGGAGCCTGAGCTTGAGGCTGGCTTCCACCAGCTAGGAGCATCTTTCTGACCCACGGTCTACGGTCACAGCGTTAGCCCTGGTCCTGCAGGGGCTGGAGGGAGCACGGAGCTGGCTCTGCGTGTAAGCAACTCCACCAGAGCGGGGCTGAATGGCATCATCCCTGCACGCAGGAACCTGTGTGTGCAGGTGAGTAGTTTGTCATTGTGTCCCATTCCTGTCTGCACATGATCCACGGCTGCCTCTTGTCTCAGACCCCAGTGAACCCAGGGGCAACAGGGTTGTGAACATGAAGTCTTTATTCTTTTTGTTCTCAAAGCAGGGAAGAGCTGGTGCTGGAGGCAGGGCGAGAGACTGGGAGGAGCTCCACACCCCATGCCCCTGTGCGAGGGCACAGGCAGGGGAGCGTCCCAGAGGGTGCTCTAGCTCTGAGCTAGGGCCGAAGGGAGGGCCCACCTGGGCAGCAGAGGACCTCAGCGGGCCAGGGCAAAGCCAATGCGATTGTTATGCCGGTCAAACTCTGTGTAGAACTTGCGGATGAAGCTGGCCCCCAGGACCCAGAGAGGCCCGGTGGGCGGTGGGACATCCAGACCATGGAGGGCCAGCGTGCACAGGTCATCATTGCCATAGGGATCCTGGCAGGAAGCAAGAGGGTTTCCCCCACTGCCCGCCACATTACTTTTCTCCTTTCCCCTTGCCCGACCCCAGCAGCTATCCTCAGCAATATCCTCCCTTCCTCCCCCATCTACTCCGGCCTCTCTTGCCCTTTCAACCCATCATGCATCCTCCTGGATGCAGGTACTGAGCTAGACACTGGGCAAATAATACATCAGGCACAGTGCTACCTTCAAGAGCTTACAGTCTGGCAGAACTTCTGACCCTAGGCAAGTTATTTAGCTGCCCTAAGTCTATTGAGTATAAAAGGGGGATAAGAGTAGAGGAGCATAGCATTACTGGGGGCAGTTGCCAAGAAGATGGAGACAAGGGGCTGAGCACAGTGATTCCCAAACTTGGCTGCACGTTGGAATCCCCTGGGGAGTTGTGAAAAAAACACTGCTGGGGCGCCTGGGTGGCTCAGTTGGTTAAGCGACTGCCTTCAGCTCAGGTCATGATCCTGGAGTCCCTGGATCGAGTCCCGCATCGGGCTCCCTGCTCAGTGGGGGGTCCGCTTCTCCCTCTGACCCTCCCCCCTCTCATGTGCTCTCTCTCTCTCTCTCTCTCAAATAAATAAAATCTTAAAAAAAAAAAAAGAAAAAAACACTGATGCCCAGGCTCCACCCCCAGAGGTTCTGATTTAATAGGTATGGGATGTGGCTTGTTACTGGGATTTTTAAGGACTTACTGATTTATTTATTTATGAGAGAGAGAGGGAGAGAGTGCGTGCGCACACAAGACAGAGGGGCACAGGGAGAGGGAAGGAGAATCTCAAGCAGACTCTATGCTCAGCGTGGAGCCTGATACAGGGCTCGATCTCACAACCCCAAGATCATGACCCTGAGGTCATGACCCCAAGCCGAAACCAAGAGTCAGACGCTTAACCAACTGCACCACCCAGGTGCCCCTTGTTACTGGGATTTTTTTTTATTTTATTTAAAGATTTTATTTATTTATTCATGAGAGACAGAGAGAGAGAGAGAGGCAGAGGGAGAAGCAGGCTCCCAAGGAGCAGGGAGCCTGGTGCGGGACTCGATTCCAGGACCCTGGGATCATGACCTGAGCCGAAGGCAGACGCTTAACCATCTGAGCCACCCAGGCGCCCGTTACTGGGATTTTTAAAGCTTCCAGGTGACTCTAACATGTAGCTAAGTTTGAGAACCACTGATGTGGCATAAGGCCTGGTCCCTTTTAGAGGGCCCCTGCCCGCCTGTCCTCCCTGTTATTGAGGGGCAGCTTGGAGCCTCACCTGTAACACATAGTCTGCGCTGGTAAGTGTGTAAGCTCTGCCTCCAAGGCGGAAGGAGATGTCGGGGAGCATAGGCACCTGGTTACAGTTCACGACATACTGAGGGGAAGGCAGAGGGAGCCCCGTTGAGCACAGGAAGTCCCCCAGCAGACACAGCCCCGTGCCTGCGGCTGGACCCCTCTGCTGGAGGGGGCTGGGCACACGGCCTACCCCCTCTGGGGGATAAGCCACACATGGGAAGAGTGAGCAGAGAGGAGGAGAAGGCCCAGAATGGCCCCATTTGGGACCTACAGCTTCTGGGGTAATTCTGGGGCCCGGACCAGGTGGTGCTCCCCCGCTTCTGGTGCCCCCGCTACCCCAGCTTCTTACTTCATTTGTGCTCAGCTCCTTGGCCCCCAGGGTGTCCATGAGCAGCCTCAGGGAGCTGGTGGGACCCGAGATGTACGATGCACCGGTATCGACCACTACCATGCAGCCCTCTTCACAGACCACGGTGGCCGACCTCACAGACACCCTGGGGGAGGCCAGTCGGAGCGTCAGACAGACAGCAGGCTGGTGGGACACCACCAGGCTGCATAGCTTCCCTGAGTGAGGCCGGTGACAGGAGGCCATGCTGGAGGTCCCGGGATGCACTGGAGGATGGGAAGGCGTGCGCTGGAGGAGGAGAGGTGCTGTCCCCTCCCCCGGGACGTGGCCTGGTGACCCGCTGCCTCCTCTCAGGGGACTCCCTCCCCTCTGCTCTTTTTATCTCCATGTTGCCCAGCCCTGGACAGAGAGCTCAGAGAGCAAATGTTGGCTGTGCCTCAGGAGAGAGGACGAGATAGTAAGGCTGCCCCATCCCACCCCCACCCCCAGCAGCAGCATTTTTGGGGAGCAGGGAGAGTTGAGGGTTCCTGACCCTTTCATTCTGATCTGCCAGGAGCCAGTCTGGCTGACGCTCACGTAGTGGAAATTGCCTTGGTAATACTGGGGGTCACTGCCTCCCAAGACAAGCTCTCCTCCGAGCAAGTGGGAATCCCTAGAGGAGAGATCACAGCTCCTGGAGACCCAGCACCCCAGCAACAAGGGAAGTTGAGCAAGGGGACGGCGGGAAGGGCGGCAGCGCTGGGAAGCGGCAGGAACACCGCTTCTCCACCTTTCTCGCCCCTCCCCAAGCCCAACCGGAGGGTTCAGCTGCACCCGATCGAGCATCCCCCCAGAGAAGGGTCCGGCCCCAGGACAGTGAGTAGAAGGCAAGATGAGAGTTGGCCACACCCTCACTTGGGTTTGGGGAGCTGCAGGTTGAGCCAATGCATGGGTCGGTGTGGGGGCTCTTGGGGACCTGTGGGGTGAGGGTGGGTAAGGGGCAGGAGGCGAACTGAAAGGAGGGGTGGACAGCTTCGGCATCGGGCAGAGCCTGGGCCTGCGGAGGCGAGTTGGACTTGGTGCTGGCGTATGTGAATCTGGACCCGATGTTCAGGAGGGTCAGGGCCATGTGGGGGCAGGCAGGGGCTCAGCTCCTTACTTGGAATTTCTGCGGAGAA